ACAATAAGGTCGAGAGTAATTCGCTTTGACTGTTATTCGCCATGTTTCTTTATTTTAGTTCACGGATTTCAGTGAGMASGWAACACCGGAAGTGATTGCTAATTGGTCGAAAAGAATCCTACAAYAGACACATCTATGAAATCCTGTCAACAAACCCAATWCACACCATGGATGCTCCTTGTAATAAACTCTTGTAAAAGAAACAACAACAATAAAATGAACTGAAACACCCATCTTTGGTATAAATCTCATTTTGCATTATTAGAACATTCAAAGGGCTTCTCTCCAGTGTGTAATTTTTGATGACGGTTCATATTTGACCGTCGTAAGAATTTCTTTTTGCAGTRWGAACATTGAAATGGTTTSTCTCCASTGTGTATTCTCAAATGTTGCTTTAAACCTTTCTTAGTTGTGAATGTCTTTTTGCAGTGAGAACATTCAAAGGGTTTGTATCCCATGTGTGTTCTTAGATGAGATGACAAATTTGATGTCTGTGCAAATTTCTTTTCACAATAAGAACATTCAAAAGGTTTTTCTCCGGTATGTCTTCTTAGATGAACTGTCAAATGTGATGTCTTTATAAATTTCTTGTTGCAAAAGGAACATTCATGAGGTTTCTCTCCAGTGTGTGTATATAGGTGATCTCTTAAAGTGGTCTTATGGGCAAACCTTTTTTGGCAATAAGAACATTCAAATGCTTTCTCTCCGGTGTGTAATATCACGTGACTTTGCAAATGTGCCCTTCGCGTAAATGTCTTTTTGCAGTAAGAACATTCGAAAGGTTTCTCTCCAGTGTGTATTCTTATGTGAACATTCAAATTATATTTGTTGGTAAATTTCTTGCTGCAATAAGTACAATTAAAATAAATTTTGTTTTCTTTCACTGCAGGAGACAAAGCATTCTCCTTCTGACCATTGTTATGAACAAAGATATCTGTTGCTTCATTAATATCGTCACTTTTAAACACAACCAAACATTCAGTGCCATTTCCATCTCCTTCTTGAAGTACACATTCCATATTCTCATCACTATCTTTATTGCTAACATAGGTATTTGTTATTTCATTGTTGTTGTCATTTCCCATCCCATTCCCATCTCCTTCTTGAAGTACATTTTCCATATTCTCATCACTATCTTTATTGCTAACATAGGTATTTGTTGCTTCATTGTTGTCGTCATTTCCCATCCCATTCCCATCTCCTTTTTGAAGTACACTTTCCATATTCTCACCACTATCTTTATAGTTGACATATTTATCTGCTGTTTCATTGTTTTTGTCATTTGTAATCTCTACGAAATGTTCAGCATCATTAACATCAGTTATTTCCTCAAGAACTTTCAACATTGCATCAATAATTCCATCTCCATCTATGCTACTGTCTTCTTCATCTTTAACTGCATCTTCTGCATGGATAACAAATGGATTTTGTTGAGGTGAAGTTTCTGTGCTTTGCTCTAAACTGGAAGGACAACCAATAKCTGTCTGTGTACACAAGTCTTTGTTGATGACTGGCTGACTATTCTTGTCTTCTATTGAGCACTGAAAGGATAAATTATTCCAATTCAAAAACTTTGGACAAACTAATAAARCTGCTGAGATATCACGCTAGACTGCGTTCAATCGAACCAATGCTGTCSTTGTGATCGTCTGCGAATCAGCAATGAAGATAGTGTTCTGCATGTGTGCCGGGATGTATGTACTTCGCTCTTACTGGATGTTCAGTTTTGAATTCTTACTAGACAGTCAACGCGCTCGTTGGCTACAGAAGACTCGCGCCAGTTTATCTACGTACTTTGCTACGTAATTAACTACGTACTTGACTACATGTACACGTTGGTAACGACCTACTGGGCCAAATATACACGTACATATTAATTAGCGTACTCGGCTACACGCACGTAACTGCTTACTCGGCTACATATATACGTATGTTACTACGTACTCGGCTACGCGTACGTAACTATACGTACTTGACTACACGTAATTTTTTACATGCATGTCTACTCATGTCATCCTGCTGGACACTGAAATGATCGCTGATTTCAAGGATGAATGTCCAGTTGTTATGTTGCAAGTCAGTTATGACTTTCTTACTTACATTTACATACGAAGGCCACTTGCGTTGTCCTGTTACTTTGTTGTAGTAATACAGAGTCTGTCCTGATTTACACTTGTATTCTATATCCATTTAGTATCCATCTTGTTTGTAAATATAACAAATAAAGTCTTCAGTAACGCTACGAACTCTTCAAAGAACACTCTCAAGTACGTACAACGCTGTTTTAAATGACAATAGATTATCCTGCACAAAGGCATTACCAAATACCACAGAAAGCATGGAGAAATGCAGTCGTTACAATAGAACTGAACAAAGATTTGTGTTTTCTCTGAATATTCATTCTCATCCTGTATAAATAAATTAATTGCGATTTGTACTAAAAACTTCGAGTATGTTCGAATTTGCTTCGATAAAACTGAGAGTTCTTGCAGTGAAGAGTCATCACACTTGCACCGTGAAACAAAATCAAAGAAGTAGTAACTATTAGTTTTTATTTACTGACTATTTGTATCTAACAGTAGATATCACTGAACCAAAACAATTCTTAAAAACAAAAGGTAATACACAAGAGACTTGGAAGCCAAACAACTTTATTAAAAGCTACCTAATGAAGAAGGAGGAATTTGTTAAAAAATGTCCCACCCACAAGGAAAGAAATAAAGAGCTAGTTTTGTTCTTTGTTAAACCCAGAGGAAAGATGTCGGGAAGGGCTAGAGCTTGTGTTAAATATAGTCTTCATCCTTCATGGAACTCGAGTTTATTGAAAGGCCATAAAAAGAATTGCCCTATATTGTTGATTATAGGGTGAAAGTGAAATAGATAGCTATAGTAACTAACTTT